TAGCAAACTTCATTGAAACACATTAAATGCGCAAGTAATCGTTATCGTTTATCGATAAACAATTACTAGTTGATATATAATCTGATATTGATCTGATCCAAGTAATTATAATTATGTTACAGATTTATATTATAACATTTTTGTAATTCATAAAAATATCGATAGTTATCGATAACTACAAATTTTGATATATTCTGATTCTCAAAGCTTGTATAAATAGAATATATTTGCCCGCTGGCGTTACTAGCCAAGGTGTATCTAAGGGACCCATAAGCACGCGATATGTAGATAATATTCAAATAGCTAAGCACCGCAGCCATAAATAATCGATAAATTCATGTTCATAGTCATTTTATAGGGTATTTTAGCTGCGCTTTGTTGAGTTTTGCAGCAGCTGCGGCTGTAAATGATTTGCGAGTCGCAGTTAACTTCTGTCTATGTCTCTCTCTCACTGTGTGTGTGTGTGTGTGCCTCTGGCTGCCTCGGGTTGTGTGTGTGTGTTTTTTGTAATTTCTTAGCTACTCCGTTCTGTGTTTTTGTGACTTGCTGGTTTGCCTATTCGCAGTCACCCTGCCACATTTGGGCGCAAACAAATTAATTTTTGCGCCTACATAAAGCTAATTGACTTGAATAGCGGGCCGTCGGTCCGAGCATCGATCTGTCCGTGCGCTTGCGGCTCTTAATTGTGGCCACAATTAATAAAGCCGCCGCTCAAAAAGCCAACCCGACATTATCTGCATCTTGGTGGCGCCACCTACACCCGCAGCAGCAGCAGCAGCCGCAGCCGCAATGAAAGCTGACAAAACGCCGCTTGACCTACAATTTGTCAAGAGAAGAGGCGGACAACCGTGAGCAAAGCGACGCCCATGTGCGGCACGTGTGATTGGGTCAACTCAGGTGGCGCCTTCAGCGGAAGCGTATCAAGTGCATGTCACACACACACACACACACACACACAGGGGCGAGGCGAAAAACTATGCCAAACGCTTTGGTTAATTAGAAATCAATTGAAACGCATATAACGTATAAGTAACTAGCTAGCAGCAACTGCAATAACAATCTGACGACCCAAATAAGTTTCCAATTGCCTCAACCCGCGGCGCCTGCGTCTTCAACATTGTTAACGTTGTGGCTGTCGCCGTTGTCGCTGGGTGGCATGCAAACCAAACTGAATGCAATGCAACGAGAGAACCAGTTTCTCTGCACAGCCGAGAACCCGCCACTGCATCTCGCTCTCTCCCTGCCTCTCTCTACGTCGCTCCTCGATCGACTCCTCCCCAGTTTTATCGCTCATTTGGTGTGTCAACTTGGCTATCTTAAAAATGCTTAATTGCTCGACTTGCATAAAAAAAACCAGGCGAAAGAAGAGTAAGAAAATAAAATAAAATGCTAATTGATAGCCGCAAGCATCGGCGGATCAACACACTCGAGAAGAACACTCAGCTGCAGGTGCAAGATCACACCTTTAAGACAATCGCCCAGTTGTAATGATGCCAAACGATTGGATGAGCACAATATGTTATTATTCTATAGACGCAAGATATGTCATATGCGGTGGTTCCCATCAGAATCTATGGCAAGACTTAATATATAACCTTATCGAATTGGTTTACACTTAACTCAAAAGCCAGCAGACGGCACGGTCAATCTTATAAGCTCTATAAACCGATTTGATCTAGTCCGATCATCCGTCTAATTTAGTTCGTCCTTCCGTCCGCCTAGTCCTGTTTTTGTCCATCCCTTCGGCTGCCTATGCCTTCTTTCGTCCATCCATCCGTTGGTCTAAGCCACGTACGTCTATCCGTGCTCCTCTTCCCACCTTTTGTCTATACGCCAATCTTACTGTCCGCTCATTACACCTTTAGTCCGTCCGTCCGTCAATTCTTCGGTTTGCCTTCCCTTCATTCATGTATCCCTCCCTACATCTCTCTGCCTCATCGTATTACATACACAAATTGATAGATGCATAACAAATTTGATAGCGCAAGTTTTCATCTTGGATTAATGAGTGTTCGTTGTGCTCTCTCTTCTTCGTTCTAAAAATAACTATAGCAAAGATCATAGCTAGACTAATTTTAATAATAATGAAAACATAACGAATCGTTTGACTATCGCATTGCCAGTAGAATGTGAGAAATTTCTTTGTTATTGAATTGTCGCAAGTGACACGGACACCCACACAAACAGTCAGCCAGCCAGCCGGCCAGGCGGGCACCCAGCCCCGACTGCCCTATTGTTACCTTTAGCTACTCATATGCCTTGCGTCATGCCACATTTTAGTTTAGTTCAAGTTCCAGTCGAGGTGTTTGCCACCCAATGCACAATTTGCATGCAAGTCACGTTCTTCGGCTTTGAGTTAGACTTTGTCACCTGCCTGTCTGTCCGCCGCCGCCTCCCGCACCGCCCTGTCACGCACACACCTTGCCTTTGCATAATGCACAAAAGACTAAAATCAATTAACAGGCAAAGTCGATTTAAATCTTTTGAGTGTGTGAGGCTGGTTTTCCAGATCTAGACGGATTTTCCAAATCCATTGAAAAGATGCAAGCTGCAAATGGAATGCTGCCCTGCCACGACGGTGTTGTTGCGGTGGGCGGCTGTGAAATTGTGAAATTGTAAAGTTGTCAAATTGGGCATGGGCGCACGACGCACAGGCAAAGTTGCAATTACATTTTGCGCTTTATCCTGATAAAAACGTTGGCGGCGCAGCTAAACGTGCAGCTTTGTCTGAATTTGCAATGCGTGCTGCAACAACAGCAGCAACCACAGCAGCAGCAGCAGCAGCAGAAACAACAAGAATGCGGTCACAGTTCATTGAACCGCTAGAAATGCAATGCAAGTAGCTCATAATGATGCTGCAGCCAGATGATTATGATGTTAATGACGTACCACAGATGCAGATGCACATCATAATGAAGATGATGATGATAATGATGATGATGATGGAGTTTCAGTGGCAACTGGCACTTTAGCGCGTCAGTTAGATAAAAAAAGCACCTCCAGCGGCTCAAGTATCGAAGCAGAGAACACAACGATTTGACAATGGAAGCAAAAGAGTTGTCAGATGTGTGCGTGTGTGTTTGTGTGTGTGTGTGTGTGTGTGTGTGTGTGCGTGCACATGTGTGTGCGGCACTTCAACGAACAAATTCAATGCCAAAAGGGTAATATTATGCGATATTCATGTCCATATGCAGTATACACATGTGCTGCGGGTATCTGTGAAAGGTCAGACTGACAGGCACAGACAGTGAAGACTCGCTAATAAACAACTACCTATATGAAACGTCTAGCTAAGAAGAGATGACAGTTTGGCACAGTTAAACGAATTAATTGTCCAACACAATATGCAATATGTATAGTACAGCAAAACTCTACTAACGGACAGCTTCCTGACTCAATCGGGTTGCCATAAAAATCAGCACTATTTTGGTAAATAATTTAAATATATTCCATTTTTTTCTCAAATTTATCTAAAAATTAAAATTACAACATTGAAACATTTAAAACTGAATAAGAAAAACATATACTTATACAGTTTAAAAAGGAGCTATTGAGAATCGTTTTCACTTATACAGTATAAGTAAAAGTCACTATTTTACAATATAAGTAATGATGACTTATACAGTATACGCTGTGTATAACTAGCTCGCTTAGCCAAAAGAATACGTTTTCCTCAAATTTGGTATACAATTTTATAATTTGAAGATACCACACATATTTTTATCTCATGGCAGATTCCGACTTCCTCTTGCCGTCCTCAAATTGAGTTAAGAAATGCACGAAAGAATTACTAAAAAAAGCAGCAAAAGCAACCGGCAAAAGGCAAAGGCAAGGGAAAAAAACACACACACAACAAATAACGAAAAATCGTTCGTCTCAACAGATTCCCACTTGCAGCTTTGACTTCCCAACCAAGCAGCTTCTTTCCAGGCTTCCGGCACCCTTTGATCTATTTTGGGCTGCTGAGTCGCCGCGTAGAAGGGAAGCCTCTGGAACTCGAATGCGAAAAACTTAAAAATAATAAACAAAGTCATTCATGAACTAAAAACACAACAAGCACAGTTCTATACATGTAAGAATAAATTACGGCATTTTACCTATAAATATGTACAGAAATGATTATTTATATATGAAAAAAAAGTATGGCAAATGGGTATATATCTAAATGACGGTGTAAAGCACAGTAAAATAAATTTATGGCTATTACTAATTTAAGTTTTCTTTTTTTTCTATTTACTTTTGCTATATATTTCATGTCTGAATATTGACGAAGAATCTTGTCGTTAACAAATCAACTGTTTTATTTTCTTTTAGCCAAGGCGCAGCTTAGAAGACAAAGCGCAGAAGTATAAGACTATTGATCCCTAAGGATAGCTAGGGTAGTGTTTGATAATGGGACAAAATGTATTCCTGTGTGTTATTCAACACAATTTATGTTTATATATAAATGTATATAAGTGTAAGACTAAAGACTGCTATATAAGACGTCTAAATGTATAAGATATAATAACGTAGAACGCAGTTATAAGACCAAAAGAGTTTTATACATGTATAAGAATAGGATGTCTCATGCTAAAATTTAATTTAGGCTGTTATATGCAAATGTAAAGGCAGACGCATAAAAGCGAAACCGAATGCCTTAAAAAAGGATTATCTGGGCATATTTAGTGTCTTTTGCAATACTATTTATACTACTCTATGTATTAGCAGACAGGTGAAGATCTTCCTCTCTTGCTGCCTCCCCCTTCCTCTATCTCTGTACGCTGTTGAGTGCAGAGCGAAGAGATCGCCCAGTAGAAAAAGTTAATCCCTGTCAAACAAGCTCTTCGTCTGTGTCAACTGACAAAGGAAAGGGGGAAGAGAAAGTGAATGGAGCGTATAGCCAATAAGAATCTTAATGATAAGATGCTTATCAACAGCTACAAAGCAAACGGAACAACAAATAAGGAAATCACAATAAAACAACAAAAACTAATACAAATAAAATAATAGAAACTTACCAAAAAGCAAACGAAGACGTTGCAACGTTAAAGTTAACGTTGTTTATATTTTCAATGGATTTTGTTGTTTTCTTTTTCTTTCTCTCTATCGCTCTCTTTTCGGTTTCTTGCTGGCTAATGTTGGATGCAGCGCTGCAAGAGGAAATTGCGTATAAGATGGAGAAGAAGCAGAAGAGGAAGAAGACTTAAGGAAGATGCATAGCAACAAGAACAACAACAACGAAAAACGCGCACAGGACATGAATATTTATTCTAATTGAAAGTTTTTGGCTGCCATTAAAAGCATACGCATACACACACACACTCACACATGCAGCAAGTGTTATGTGTGTGAGTAAAAGGGGTTTGTTACTGCAGCGGCGGGTGCTGCAAAAGTTGGCGCTTGCGTCACGTCAACAGCGCCGTCTGCAACATCAAATCGAATTTTCCAAAAAGAAAAAAAACCAATAAAACAAATAAAAAAAGAAGCGGAAAAAATGAGAAAAACCGAAATAAAAACAAAAAAGAGAAGAAAAAACCGACACAGCCAAATAGAAGAAGCGGACCAAGAGGAAAACGAGTTAAGGCGCAGACAGCAAAAGACAATGCTGCCATCGCGTCCCAGTCGACGCCGCAGTCGCCGTTGTCGTCGCTGTCGCCGTCGCCACAGTCTGTGCTGCCGTCACTTGCTGCAAGCAGCGCAGATAAAAGCAGCCAAAGACAGCCAAAGAAAACGCAACAATAGCAGCCACAGCGGCAACCGCTCCATTTAGTTGTTGTTGTTATTGTTACAATATTTTGAAAATAGTATTTGTTTACGCGCGTCTTGTTAACAAAAAAAAACAACTACAGTTTTGTTTGATTATGCCAGGCTTACGTTTCAATATTTTGACGCCTTTTAGTTGCGCCCGCGCATCTTCCAAAAACAAAAAAAAAAAAAACAAAAAAAAAACAAAAAAAAGGCGAACAACAAAAAAGCCAAGGAACACCACAAACTTTACACTAGACACCAGAACCGTAAAAAAAACTAATAACACTGTGCAAATTGTGTGCCGACCACTTGCGCCGAGACTTTCGTTGCAAGCTGCTGCTGTTTAATAATTACTTTATGTTAATTATTTCTTGATTTTGTTAGCAGTTTAGTTCTTAAGTTAGGATAACAATGCAGCAGCTGTTGAGCGACACGAGAACCGCGCGCTTCGAAAACAAAATGAAGACTAACAACTAACGTTAGCAATGTGATTGCAAGCGCAACGCCCCAAAATACCAAAAATCAAAGTCAGATGAAAATACCACACAAATATACCAAGCGCATATACCGCCTGTAATGCATAAATACCCACTTTATCAGTTTGGTAAATAAACATCATCTTTATCTTATGCAATTTTTATAACTATCTAATATTAAATTAAAACATAACTGTTAGTTTAAAACACACACAAATATATAAGGTCATACTGTGACATAGTGCTGCCAGACTTGTTATATTTGTATACCAACTTACTCAAAGTGTACATAAAGCTAACACTAGAGAGCGCCACTGTTGCGCTCGGTGGTTGTGCGCAATAAAATGAACGGGTGAAAAGCGCTCTTGCCCTCACCACCAACTTCTGAGTGTAAAACATTGAATGAAAACTAATAAAAATAAACATGTGGTGCACAGTATTACAATAGTGTGGCGAGAGTAAAATAGTGTGACAAGAACAACGGTTTATAATCATATGAGCTCTAGCAAGCTGTTCGACGCAGTCAACGTGCATTGAGAGCTTTTTGAGTGCGGCCATTCAGTCAGCTGGGATGCGCTTTTATTTCGTATTGTTGGGTTCGGTGGTCTGTTTGCATTTGGCAAAAGCTGTACTCTCTGTGTTGTCATCGTTATGTGTGTACGCATTGTTGTTGCCAAAAAAGCTTTTTCAACTAATAACTGCTGCGCTTAATTTTCCACTTGGTGAATCGAATTGACACAGTTGCAATCAGAATCTAATTGGAAACGGCGTACGGCTGCACTGCATCCGCCATGATAGCCAAGTGACCAAGCTCGTTAATTTCAATACCCATTTGACGGTTAATTACGGTTCGATTAGTTCGGACAGCCGCAATGTCAACGGAAAGCAATACGCCCGTGGATCCCCGTGTCCAGGTATTTGCCCTACATACAGACCAGCATTTATCCAATATTCCAATCATCTAATTGGTTTACGTTCCAGATCGAGTTGGAAAAGCTTAACACGGCCACCGACAATATCAACAAATATGAAGTGGAGCTCGATGTGAGTTTTATTATTGATTTTTATTTTTATTTTTTTCTTGTTACTTTTTTCGCTTTTTGCTTTGCGCTCTTATTTACTTTATATAACATACGTTGTCCGTGTGCAGGAGTCGAAGTGCGAATTTAAGCGTCTGCTGGCGGAGAGCGTGGTGCGTATCAAGGCCGCCGCCCACAAGCTGGGCAACTCGATAGACGCCGCCAAGCCCTACTACGAGTCGCGCATATATGCCGCACAATTGGCCAAGGAAACGCAGCTGGCGGCAGCCAATCATGAGAAGGCCAAGTCCATACATGCCGCTGCAAAGGAAATGGTCTATCTGGCCGAACAGGGACTCGGCGAGAAGTCCACGCTGGATACAGCCTGCCAGGAGATGCTCAGCCATGCCGCTAGCAAAGTCAATCAGTCCCAATTGGAAGTCACCGACACGCGCAACGCCCTCAAGATGTGCCAACTAAAGCTCGAGGTGGCCAACAATCGTGTCGGCAAGCTCCAAGGACAGCTCAAACAAGCTTTGCGCTCCTCCAGGTATCTAATTGGATTCCTATTTGACTTATACACCAACGTTCTGGCAGAGTGCAATTGGAATTCCCAATGGGTTTCGCACCAGTTAAAAGAAATCTATGTTCGATTTGAAAATTTTCGAAAAATATTGAAAATTTATGTTTTTTACATTTTTGTATGTGATAAAAGTTATTATAATAATAACTGTGAGTATAGCACAATTTTAGAGATATTTTTAAAGAAGTTGTCAATTAATTCTTATTTGAAAATAAGATATAATGAGAAACTCTGAAAGGCGATATTTATATAGCTGATATATTTTATATATATCATATTTACAACGACTTTTATATATATAAATATAATAATATTCATAGTATTAACATTTATAAATTATATTGCTATAGGAGTTATTTCATATATATGTCAGATATTTTAAAATTTTATTCTGAAAATGTAAAAATTTGTTTCAAGTATGAGATATATAAGGCATATCAGCTATATCATGTGTCTATAACATTAATGTTTTGGTCTCTATATAAAAATTTTGCCCCAACCACTTTTTTCTATAAAAATACCTAAAGATCTACACGAGCGAGCCTCGAAATACTCCACTATATAGCTAACATATACTATACCAGCATATATATATATATTAATAGCAATAAGCGATTCAGAAATAAGTTTTAGCTTGAAACCCTTTCCAAGTTGCTTCTTCACTTAGCTACAGATCTCTCTTTCAGTTCCCATACGACGACAGTCTGATTAGATTAAGTCTGATTAGCTTCAGCTCTGCCAGAACAACTTAAAATGTCTCTTTATTGGTTTATGTTTTTGGTTCTACTTTCGGTTCTATTTCGTTTTCTTCTTTTGGTTTCTTCTTTTTTGTCTTCTTCTTCTTAGATTGCAGCTGCGGCGCAATTTACTTTTGTTGAGATACTTTAGCATTTTGCACGCTTTGTATTGTATCCAGTGCTCGTGAGTATGCGCTGCTCACCTGCTGCCTATGCCACGCCCACTAATATTGCTGATAATCGCTCGTTAATGCAGGCCCTACTATGAGACGCGTGCGAACTACAATGGACTGCTGAAGGCGCAAAAGCTGCGCGTCAACGAGCTGGAGTCAAAGGTCAGCGCCGCCAAGTTGACCTACAACGAGGCGCTGAAGAATCTGGAACAGATCTCGGAGGACATACACAGGCAGCGGCAGCAGCGCAACAATTTGCTTAACTACGAAGCGATGCTGCGCCAGGTGGACGCCATTGATGCCCAGCAGCAGCAACAGTTGCAGTTGCAGCAGCTGCAATCGGAGGCGGAGCAGCTGCAATTGGCGGAGCCGGAGGAGGAGTATTTGCGCATGCCAGATCGTCTGGGCAGTGGAGCCAGCTCGCCGCGCCAGAGGCATGCCGATCCACATGACTGTCCGCATCTGCTGCACGACTTCGAGACGGTGTTGACCTTCCCACAGAAGCTGGCCGGCGGCATGCACAAGTCGGCCAGCACCAGCGCCACCGACGGCGACAACAATCTGTTTGCCCAGGCACAGGGTCTGCATGGACCGTACGAGGTGAAGCCACGCTCGGAGTCTGGCAGCAGCTCTCTGGCCTCGGCGTCGGCCTCTGCCTCGACGTCGGCCCCGCCGGCGGACAACGACATCGATCAGTGGACGGAAATACGACTCTCGCACTCGGACAGCACCAGTTCGAGCTATTCGAATCAATCGCTGCTGGAGCAGCAGGCTCTCGATGGAGCCGGCAGCCTAGGCGGCCATGGCTTGGGCTATGGCCTGGGCGGCCTGGATGCGGATGCGCAGTCGCAGCACTCCACCTCGTCGTCGGATGAGCCCAAGCGCAAAGTGACCTGCACTACGATATTCCAGGACGATAGCAGCGGTATCGGCATCGGCATCGGCCTGGCCGGCCAGCAGATGAGCCGCAAGCAGAGCCTCAGCCAGTGGCTGTCGCGTTCGAATAGCTTCAAGAGCAGCGGACGGCGGCAAAGCCTTGATCTGTTGATCGATGCCGGCGACAAGGTGAAGGACGTGTTTAGCTATGGCTTTCAGAAGGTCGGACGCAGTCTGGAGCGGCGCAACAGCGAATCGGAAATGGCCAACGATGGCGGCGAGACGGATGCGCTGCTTGCCGCAACAGCAGCAACAACAACGACGACGGCGGCGACGGCAGCAGCAGCGGCGGCGGCGGCGGCAGCGGCTGGGAATGCCTCGGCGTGCAGCAACAATAGCGGCAGCGGCAGCAGCAGCAGCGGCGGCGCCGGCGATTTCTTTCTCTTTAGCAGGTCAGTAGATGGCAGCGGTCGCAGCGCCGCCGGCGTCGGCGTCGGCGTTGGCAGCAGCCTACTGTGCACGCTGCAGAATCGCCTGACAAAGCTCATTTGATCCAATCGGACAACAAATCAAACGAATCGCTAAACGATAAACCGATTTACCGCCAAACTGCTATTCAAAATTCAAACTGCACTCACTCAAAAAAATCAAACAAAAAAAAAACTCCCAAATGCTTCAACTACTGCAAGAACTAATACTCAGCTACTGCAATTAACTAAATTCCTAAATGCTCGATAAAAACAAAGTAACGAATTGGCTGCTTTAATTTGGTATATTTGCTCTTTCAACACACAAATTCGATTACAACAACCACAACAACAACAGTTATAACAATGACAACTATCAATCAATCAATCAAACAATCAATCAATCAATCAATCAGCAACAACTACAAATACTACTACTACTACTACTACTACAATAACAATCAACTAATCGCATTGCACGCACGCACGCTTCTCAAACCAAAACTTAAAAAACAAGTCAAAAATCTACTTTTAACAAATTTGTATGTACTGCAAATATTTCATGTGTGTGTTGATATATACATGTGCGTGTGTGTGTGTGTGAGTCTGTGCATGCGTGTGTTTGAGAGTGTGGCTGTGTGCATGAGTGTGCTTTGGCCTCCTGAAATAACTTTATTTTATATAAATTACATTGAAATCGATTACAAAATATCGATTTATCAATTTACTTTTTATCAAAATTAATTCAATATTCTCTTCAAAATAATTTTGAAATTTAAAAAATTTTTTTTTTGAATATTTTTTATTATGATTTTATTCAATTTATGTTTGATCACAAATTATTTGTTTTTAAGACTACTATTTTTAATATGCATTATTAATTTTAAGCAACAATTTTCAGTTTGCAATTGAATTCAATGAGTGTAAAGTTATTTCTAGAGGCCAATTTTTTTATTTTTGCTGTCGTCTTTTTTTATATAACTCGATTCGATTCAAAAGATTTCATTACGCATCAGTCTCCATGCATCCATTCCGCTTACAACTTCTCTCTCTCTCCCTTTCTTTCTCTCTTATCTCTGCCTAGCACTCTCTCGCCTCTTTTGCATTTCATTTTCGCTTAATTTATTCTGTTACCTTCGGCTATCTCTGTTTGGTGTGACACAATTACAACAACAACTACTTTACAGATCCTCAGAACCCAAAGAATTACTATCCGATGAGCAGGTTGAGAATTTGCTATTGAATCATATGGTTGATGAGCACGGCGTCATCATTGTGGAGGAGTTAAAGTCACCAACGGCCGCAGCAATCACAACACGAACGTCAGCAACAGCAACAACATCAACTAGCTTGCAGCAGCAACAACAGCAACAGCAACGTGCTGCTTTATTGTTTTAAGCTGAGCTATATACCTTAAACTCCGGAACTGCTGCTTTAACCATTTTCCGAGCAATTAGTAAGAGGCGTACATATCACTTGACATCATCGCATCCATTGTGAAGTGGATCGGCAGGAGCTGCCCCAAATCATTCAATTGCTTTCTTTTAATGCATAGCTTTTCGCTGTGCTCTAATCCTAATATGTGCAATAATGTTGTTTAGCGTACAAAATTCAAAAAAAAAAAAAAAAAAAAAAAACAAGTTACATTTTATGCTGTTCAGTAAATGAATTAACTAACTAACGCTAGTCCTAGGCGAAATGCATACGGAAAAATCAGTTAGAACAGATATATATAAAATTAGCAGCAAAAAACAAAACAACAATTCAAAAGAGATAAACCTTAAAATACAAAATAATTATAGAAATTATACAGAGTACGTTATAAATATACATACATATTAATATTGACACACATTCTCTACATTTCGTTTCTTTGGGTTTTCCATTAATAGTTTAAATTAACGCTTTCTTAGCGATAGCATAAGTCTGCGCTATCGATATGCACGACGTACGATGTATACACGCGCAGTAAAAAAGACGACAGCTTTTGTAAGTGAGCATCTAACTGCTTTGGGCGCTATGTTCATTTTATATATGATTTGTGACTTTAGTTCTATATGAAAAATTAAGGATATAAGCTGCAAATATAGCATAGAATTATATTTCATTTAGTTCAAAATTCTAAATGGTACCTTATATTATATTTGTAGGGGCGACTGAGAGATGGGAATCAATATTCCCATCGTATATTTTTTAAATACACTTGTCGCATTCATTATATCGATATTAGTTATCGGATTGTTGTGCATCACCGTTGTACTCCAGGAAATTCCAAATAAAAGCAAAAAGCAATTCGCTGCTAAATTTAGCAACTGCTGCACATTTCACACGAGTGCAACAAAACAGAAAATGAACGTGCTTCCGGTGCTACTGCTGCTGCTAATGCAGCAGCTAACAGCCGTACCGCTGGCACAAGCGGATCAAACAGCAATAGAAACTTCAGCTAGCTCCAATGTAACCAAACTATCAATGGTTGGCCCGAGCAACAGCACCAAAAATGCAACAACTTTGAATGCAGTTAAAAGTGTAAACACATCATCAGGTATTGTAATTGAAAATTATTCAACTTAAACTATATATATACATATTTATTTATATATATATATATATATATATATATATATATATATATATATATATATATATACCATAAATCATGACAGATATAACCAATCCATTGCCAGTGAACAAACCAGCCAAGGTCAACGCCACTGCGGACCACTCTCCGGTGCTCGCGCGTGGCGTTACCAATACGGATCCATCCGCCGTACAAGTTGGCACTGTAGTGAATAGCACAACGACTACGCCAGCACCACAAGTAACGAAATCAACATCGGCAACAACAACAGCAACGGCGATAACAAACCAAACAAAATCAACGGCCAAGACGGACAAAATAGTGGCCGATGGCGTATCGCTGAGTGACATCAAAAACAACAGCAATGGTAGCAAAAATTATAAGAACAACAGCAGCACCCCCACCACCGCCACCTCCACCAATACAACAGCTGCTGTTATCAATGGCAAAGCCACAAACAGCAGCAGCGGCAGCAACAGCAGCATCGTCACCACGCCAACATCAACTACTACTACTTCAACAACAACAGCATCCACGACAACCACCACAACAACAACCACAACAACAACTCCAAGCACGACAACCACAACCACATCTCGTCCTAAAAAGCCAACAGTCACAAGCAGCATGGCGAAACAAATTGAGGGTGAAAAATTGGATATGACTGCTCTTAACGGTGGCAGCGTTGCACCACACGTCTTGCCCGTGCATGAGATGAGCAGCAGCCTGGTGAATCGTGGCGAAAACGAATATATTGTGCCAATTGTGACCGTAATGCTAGCTGTGCCGCTGGCCATAGCTGTATTCATTGTGGGCTATAGACGCTTCCGTGATTTGTGGACAACGCGTCATTACAGGCGCATGGACTTTCTGGTCGATGGCATGTACAATGATTGACGAAGGCGCTATCAGCAGCAGCAGGAGCTCGGCTACAATGCTGCAACTGGTGGTGGAGGTGCTGGTGGCCGTGCAGGTGATTTATCGATTACTGCCACGCGGCTGCCGTAGCGCAAACGAATTTGATAAAACAGCAAATAATTGGAAAGATTATTAGTTGTTAAGATATTATGATTATTATTACTTGAATTCAGCATGCAATGCAAGAACAGGTGCAGTGAGCGAGAGCCAGAATGTGAGCGAGCGAGACAGAGAGAGAGAGAGAAAGAGAAAAAAAGAGAAAGAGATGAATACGAAGCGCATGTTGTTGCGGGGCAGCGGCACACGCTAAATATATACACATATTGCTCAGTCAATTAAAACATTGAGAATATTTATATATATATACGTGTGTGTGTATGTTAAGTAATTTCCAAGAATATATATACACATATGTATATACCCAGCGGCCAAATCGAATATGTTGATAAGATTCAAGCGAAGCGCAAAACAAAACAAAACAAAAATTAAAAAGTTATAAACTAATTTAATGAAAATATTGCCAGCATTTGATTAATAGCTTCACATTTAATTTATGCATTTTCTAATATAAATATATATACATTTATATATATATGTCTCCGTATATACTTACACATTTATACCTTTGAACTATGCAACAAAGTTGTAGAAGGAATATTTCAATACTTAAGGCGCAATTAGCAATCAATCATAAATTATACTATACACAAATTACTGTAAACTATATATATATATTATAACCAAAATGTGCCTTACCGTTTCAGCTCATAATAATGCTGTATCATATAAACATATACATATGTATCGGTAACAATATCTTAGACTTTAGAATCTGGCAGATTAATTGATCTATGAACTATTAAAAACAGAAGAAAAAAAATCGAAATTGGATTTAGCCAACTGTAAATCAAAAACATGGAAAGAAAACTAAAAGCAAAGTGCGCATTTATTGCATAATAATTTGTTATGAACGAAACAATTACAATAAAGCAAATGCACTGTAACCAATAATAATAAAGTAGAACCTTGAGTCAATTTGCCTTCGGGCAACATAAAAACCAGCAACAACAACCACAAATATTGTAAACAAATGCATTGGCAAAACGTTTTCAGCGGGTCATTGGAGCATTGTTCTTCGTTCGCACATTCCACGAAAATAACACGAACTGTGCCAAACATGAAATGATCTTCAAATGTGCAATTGCCTATAGCAGATATTACTTATTGGTTTTTAAGGAACCAATTGCAATTTGTTATTGATATATTACATATACATACATTATTATTAAATCAAATGTTTATTATTTATTTTTGATCAGTCATTTCAAATTTCATTCACTGGAATATTTACTGTGACTGTCTACCAGGCAACTGCAGTGCCAGCTACGCCTCTCTACGTAGTTCTCATAAATTCAAGCAAGTGCTAGAGCCAATTGCAGCGAGACTGTGGCATCACAATACAACAATTGATAAAACATCATAATGGAGGGGGACTCTGCCAAAAGTTGTAGAGCGAAGCGATATAACGATATTAAAAGAGAATTATTAAAGTTGTTTTTTCATTTCAAGCAAAAGCTATTTGCAGAGGAGCTCAACTGCGAAACTTGCTGATCTTAACTCTAGAGCTGGAAGAGATAGTGATGCCCCATTCGCCTCGCCTAAAAGCCAAAATTATTGATTCTATAATAGTGCTACATAAGATATCTGTATGCGATGTCTGTTACGTATATTCGATTTCAAAATAAATCAATTTTTTAAATAAGCCTAAATTTGCTATTGTTCTTGAGCAAATTTCAACTAACCAAACATGCTCTTCTTACTATATTATATATATTACTATATTATATACTATAAAAACTACGAAAATACACATAGAGTTCGGGCGAGTGAGTCCTGATGGCTTGCTATTGAGCTATTTTCTTAAGTTCAGGCAGTTTAATTTAATTTAAAAAAAACTGAAACTTTTTCATTTCGCATTCAAATTTATGAATAATTTTTATTTCCTATACTATTCCACAGAGACTTGATCATTTTGATCTTTGATAGTATAAATATAAATCAGAATCTCTCAGGATCACAAACTGGGCCGAAATGAGCGAGAAACGCTCGCTTTATTCATTGCGTGCTACACACAGTTGTCAAATGTGTTGTAAACCGTTTGGCCTTTTGTCGCTAATAGATCACTAGCGGCTGTTCCTGATTAAGACAAATGCTTAACAACGTGCATGGCAGCTTCAACATTTTGTTGCTGAAGTGGTTTATAAATTATCTCCATCTTCTCCATATAGATTTTTGTAGTTCGTTCGTTTCTAATAATCTAAACAACACACAGCGAAAATATATATAAAAAAAGAAAGAAATACAAACAACATCGGACTCTACGGCTGGGTGTGTGTGTATGCTTTGGCCGGATGGCTGGACGGAACGGAGGCGCCGTAAACGGCAACGTGTGAAATGAGTCGAACAACTGCTTCGACGCTTGAGACTTGCGGCCCGCTGCTCAATTGGAAACGTGCGCTGGACGCGTGCAGTGCTCATCGTGCGCCATTTTAACGATACAGATCTTTAGCCGAGGAGCAGCAGCAGCATCATTCATAATTCCACAATGCATCCTGCATCGCCGCATCAGCATCGCACGCGACTCAATATCAATGCACCCGGAACAGGTGCCGGCCAGGCGTCGCATCCGACACAACAGCAGCCACAGCAGCAGCAGCAGCACACGGTTCAGATCAGCTCCAGCACACATCCCTATCAGGGACTAAAAACCTGTAAGAAACAAGCTTTAATTCTATTAAGACTCAGACCTAAAAGGAATAACTTGAAATACCTAAAATCTTGCCATTTATTAACGATTGAATTTCGTCTCAAAGGATTTTCCTTTTTTGGATTTCTAGTTACAAATTGTTTTTCAATATTTGGCTGTATTTTCCATTGCATGTTTAGTTTATAGAATGATCATCTGTGTGCAGAACTGCAAAAGATACAAATAGTTTTCGTTTCACGACCTCAGACTCAATCCATAAATTCATATTTATGTGCTCGAAAATCATAACTCAAGCGATTTGGCTTTCGCCCGTAGACGAGAATGATTCATGCGGTGTCGATGATATATTGAATTGTATCTATCGATCAGCCAGGTCGAGCGACCACCTATGAAGTATGCAATATAAACTGTGCGCCGACAAGTAAAAATAAATAACAGAAAGATTGACGAGACGCGACGCAACGCAATGTGACGTGACGTGACGTGACGTGATGTGACGTGAGGCAACCAAAGATTTGATTCGTATACGGATATGGGATATAAAGCGTACTGTCGAAACATATAAGATAAACAAAAAAGGGGCCCAACTGAAAATAACCGTGCTCCCCATCTATAGACTGAATTTCTCTCTACTCTCTACTCTCTACTCTCTACTCTCTACTCTTTTCTTGTTTCCTTTTCTTTTTCATTTTTTGGCTAACATGTACTCGCACTACATAAACATTCCATAAATGTTCCAATTGGCCAGGCGATTGTTTAGCTTTGCTTTGCTCTGGATTGGTATTAGTTCAACCTGCCCGCACTCGTTGAAATCTATACTAAAACATAAACAATACGCGCAATTACCATTCTATATATATGTATATATATAAATATGTGTAGCTATGCGTACTTGGGCTGTGCGTACATAGAAATATGGCTAATTTGGCCATAAACAGATACCTACTTATGTAGTTAGACAACATCGAGCTGATGGATCGCAGCCGTATGCAAGATTTTATAGATCAAAAACAATTGTTTTCGTTCAATTGTGCTTGGGGCCATAAAACTTTACTTTTACGGCAGACATATAGCTAGTTTATACTTTTACGTATGAAATGCAATTAGCCTTTATATAGTAGAGATCTATGGCTAAAAGATTTTGGCAAATTATGCCTTAATATGGGGTATACTCTACGAGCAGCCAATAGCTGAAATATAAGCTGTAAAATGAGCGGAAACTTGTTTACCTTATTGCAGTGGAAGTCTTATGCTTTAGTCCTCTGTGCTTTAGTCCTCTTATTAAGTTTGTAATTTCCTCTCAAGATTTCAGTAAATTTTGAGTGAATTACAAAATTTCTTACAGTAGCACTTAAGTAACAATACTTTGGATGGAATACGATATCTAACAAAAATCACGAACTAATTTCTTTTTCAAACTCAATAGACTTTCATATTCATAAACTCAAAATACTTATCCATAGCCATTTGCCGCAACTTAGTGCGCGTCAAGACACTCTCTGTCTGCAAAACAAGTTTTTATCTTCAGAATCCTTAAATTACTTGAATAGTTATAGTCATATCTATTAACTCAACTCAATTACAATTTTATATATGATAAATGTATTTCCTCTAATTTCTGTCTAGCAAGTAGAGTAAATATTTTGCCATGTTTTATGATAAAATTTACGCCAAGTGTTTTGGCTGATTTTGTCTGATCTCTGTTTGTGGTCGTGTCTGTGCCCGTTTCCAATGAAAATCAGTCAGGCTGTCAGTGTTCAGTGGAACAACAAACGGAAATCCGAGGCAGCATAGAAAAAACATTTGCGTTTTTAGCAACACGAGCAACAAGTGCCACAATGCACATGTGGCAGCAGGCACCGCACACCACCAACCATCCAACTACCCAACTACACAGCAAACAGCCAGCATGCGAGCACGTCATGAAATGTGTCTTCAATTGATTTTCAATTGCTTGTGAAATGTTGCGCTTAATGCCTCGCATTCCGCAGCTCCTTTTGATGAGGTTTTATTTCTTGTCTTGCAGCTGAAAATGACGAAATGGGCTGCGTGGAGCTTCTGGCCACGGCTATATCGGTGCTAATCATGGTGCTGACGTTTCCCTTCTCAGTGTTTATTTGCTTCAAGGTGGTCTCCGAGTATGAGCGTGCGGTCATCTTTCGCATGGGTCGGCTACGCAGCGGCGGAGCACGTGGTCCCGGCGTCTTCTTCGTGCTGCCCTGCGTGGACGACTATTATCCGGTGGATCTGCGCACTGTCTCGTTCGATGTGCCGCCACAGGAGGTGCTGTCTAAGGACTCGGTGACAGTGACAGTCGACGCCGTTGTCTATTATCGCATCAGTGATCCACTCAAGGCCGTTATCCAGGTATCCAATTACAGCCACTCCACACGTCTCTTGGCTGCCACAACGTTGCGGAATGTGTTGGGCACCCGCAACCTTTCGGAGCTGCTCACTGAACGCGAGACCATTTCACATACGATGCAAATGTCCCTGGATGAGGCTACCGATCCGTGGGGCGTCAAGGTGGAGCGAGTCGAAATGTAAGTTGAATCAGACGAAAGGCAAATCGAGCTAGAGCTTTAATGAGTCCTCTCTATTTATTAGCAAGGACGTCTCGTTGCCAACGGCACTGCAACGCGCCATGGCCGCCGAGGCGGAGGCTGCGCGTGAGGCACGCGCTAAGGTGATCGCCGCCGAGGGTGAGATGAAATCTTCGCGTGCACTTAAAGAAGCCTCTGAAATCATTTCGGCTAGTCCGTCGGCGTTGCAGCTGCGCTATTTGCAAACGCTGAGCAGCATCTCGGCGGAAAAGAACTCGACCATCATTTTCCCATTGCCCATGGAGCTGCTGACGCCATTTCTGAACTCGTCCGCTCAATTTGCGGCCAACGCCCATGCGACGCCATCGCCACTTCACAGGCACCAGCATCAGCATCATCAGTGACGTTCGATGTCGGTGCTGCAGCCATACCTGGAGGCACTGGGTCGCTGCGAGCTGCGCCGGCAAATCGCGGGCAACAATATGGACGACGATGACGATATCGTTGGCTACTTGTTGTAGGTGGACTGACAGAGAGAGAGAGAGAGAGAGAGAGAATCTCACTCAATGTGTTCTCCCAAGCCAACCAGTGCTACATAGTGAACACAATTATGTTCCTAAGGACATCCACTAGCTGTTCTTTATAAAATGTACTTACGTTAAGTGAACTTCATTACAAATTATGTTTAAGGATTGTTTAAAACAAAATTTTTTTGAATTTCACCTTTTTTTATATTTGTGTAAATTATTTGAATTCTTAAATTATAATTACCAGCTTTATTTACATATTTGAAATTAAGTTAGTGAGGGTCTGGAGTGCTAGTCTGGCAAATAACCTAAAGCGCCTAACCTGTTGCTGTCTTAAACATTCTCACTGCCTTCAATACAGCGCTCAGCATTTTTTTTTTCAACTATTAAGAATTTCTTAGCGCTTGATTTAACTGTTTATTAGTACAAATGCTCAAGGAAATTACGATTTCAAACTTACGCAACTTAATTCAAATAAAAATCTTTGTCTTCTGAGAAGTTCCTCTTCATATTTGTTGTTATATATTTATTTTTCATTTATGTTTTATTCAGTAAATAATAATTTTCTGGGTCAAAAATATTTTATTTATATTACTTACTTATTTAGAAACACAATTTCAATTAATAAATCCAATAATTAAATTTTTCGATTATTTAAATTATAAGAAAAATGTAATCTTAATTTGCTTCTTATTTTGTTAAAGTATTGCAAAGTTTCCCATTTTTTTATTTCAAATTATCAGCATTTAGTTTTCATTTGGCATTTTTGCAAGCTTACAAAATTATCAATTTATACATATACATATATACACTTTTATATTTTTTTAATATTTTATTATTTATTAATATTTATAGTAAGTTTAAAAAAAAAACACTTTAAATAACCTTTAAAGGAATTAGCCTCCTTCTTTTTCAGTCCAGTTTTTTAGCTGAAATGTTGGTTCGAATTCCGCACGTAAATCACCCCAAAGCGCGGTTTCTTTTACTTTAACAATTTTTCGCACGAGGTTTTCATGTTCTGTACTTTAGCTGAAAGGTTGGTTTGAATTTCGCTGCCGTCATATGTCGTGCATAAAAGTATGCAATGTATATTTTGTTACTGAGATTTGTGTCCAATTCATGCGGCAATCCAATCTATATAGCTCCGACAAGTGTGTCGAAGGGTTTTAGCTCACGAATAATAAATTATAAAATACGTCAGTCTCTGATTTATAGTCTAAATAGCCGGACGCTTGAAGACTTCATTTTCTGATTATACAAACATAAATAAATCAATTATATATTACAATTTAATAAGTGAATTTCTATATTTATACATAGTTTATATCAATCAATATTGAACACAAAAATTAAATTTATATATTTAAGCGAATCAGGAAATCATGGACAAATCATATTACTCTCGTTCGGTAAGTGTCAAAGTAACTGCCTTTTGTATTATTTCACATTAATCATAAGCTTTGCAGTCCAAATCGAAGAAAGATTGCAAAGAACGACTTGACTGCCAAATGGCTATGGTTGGTCTGGAGTCAACAGATGAGAGTGCTTTGAGTGGCAAAATTGATCCGCTCAGGCCACGGGCTGAATACGAGAAATCCACACAAACAACGATTTTCGTTTGCCCATACTGCAGCGGGGACTTAAAGGCAGTTTTTCAACTCGATAGAAAATCCAGGCAGCATCAGAACGACAAGAAAGAAAAACAAACACAAGTGTCTTCAATGCCATCGGACGAGACACCGATCGCCGAGCAGCAGCCAACTAAGGTACCCAAAAAACCCCTTACAGAAGAGCGGACACATTTTGAACAACATTCTGGCTATCATCAGGCAGCACATGAGGGCAGGACGAAGGCCAGGGAACAACCGAATCCCAAATATGTCGACAAGCAGCCACGTTGCCAGGGGCAATATAGCAGCGAACTGTCTAAAACGAACCTACTGACGCACTATCACAAAAAGTACACCAGCTATGAACCGACATCGTGGATAAACAAGGAATTGTCTCCTCCAGCCAGTGATAGCTCAACTCAAAAGCCAAGCAATAAGCACGACCAATATACTGCAGCTACTGAGCTCGACGCTCCAAGGGCTTCTTGCACGCCTAAGCAGCAGCGCAACTTCCGCAAGGTGTTAACAGTCCCACTCACAAAGAATCAAATTCCAGTGTGCAATCGCAAGCAGGTCTTATTTTCACCTTCCGACAAGGAGCTGCATCCCGCAGTAGCCGAAGAGCCAACGACGAAACTTCACAAGTATTCAAACTATTTGCCCACGGACACCAAAATTGCACATGACGTTAGCACAGGCAAAGGTCTGGCTGCAAAGCAGCAGGCGAATGACAAACCGAAGCCAATGCGTCATTTTGGCAAATCGAAGGTTTTGGCACCACGACAAAGACATGCTACAAAGGCAAGCCCATTAATAGACCCTTGTCGAGATCGTACTGCTGGCAATAATTCCAGGTGTGGCAAAGCGTCTGACCCTAAAATTACGAGGACACGCAACAAGTTCGTCGATGACTTGTTCTTATTTAAGCGGCTTAACTGCAATTCCACACCGAGTGCTTCATCTTCGATATTTCGTTCGATTAATGATGATATGGCAAAGTTGTATGATCTATATGCAACGGGTTCCAGTGAAACTACACAGGCAGTCTCAGGCAGCCGGAAAGAGCCGCCAAAAAAGGATTGGGTAGAGGAGCGGCATCATCTGCCATCGCTTGGCTTGCCCAGTCCCGTCAAGGATAAGCCGGTGAAGTCTACGTTGAAAAAGGTGGAAGCACGTCAAGATTTGTCGTCTATTGGAGGCTTGCAGCTCACCGCTCAGGATATTATCGATACAAAGGTTACAGCGCCAATGATACGGCGCGTTCAGCGCATCTACAGAGCCAATTTGGCTGAACAAATGATGCTGGTCCAGGAGCTGGACAGCATACCAAAGTTGGTAAAAGATATGTTGGAAAATTACGAAGAAAACTAAATGTTAAACGTTCATTGGCTTCGCTCCGCACACAAGTCGAAGCTGTTCTAATTGGTCTAGGTATTTGTCTTTTTGCATTTGAATAGAGTTCAAAGTGGTGTCCTCAATAGTGTTGCTTTAGATATAGATAGGGACATACATATATTGGCATGCATACACAAAAAAATTTATTAATAAATATTTTATCAATGCAATGAAATATGTACTTGCTTATGGTATGTGTATGTGTGTGTTGGTGTTGTATAAAATGGCTTTTACAAAATGTATACAAAATAATTGTGACTTAACATAATATACATATATACATTAGAAATGTGCGTAAAAGTAGCTCGATGTCGATTCACTTTGAATATAAATCAATTTATGTTTGAAGCTCGAAACAATATATTATATATACACATATATATTTATATATGTATGTATAGATACTTATGCATATACATATATGGGCATATAGTGAAATATGTATTTAGTTTTTGTTTGGGCTATGCGGCATATTCTCTATCTCTATCTCTGTCTTTTTTAAGTGTTATACACCATTTTGCACAAAATGTTTCGTACTGAGTTTTCAGTTCAGTATGGGTTATTGCATTCGTATGCCGAGTACCGTTATTTACGCATGATTCATTCACTTTCTCACATATATTTTCCATGATGTCGGAAAATAAAAGGAGTTAAGTGATCGGCTTAGCAAGCATCCAGAGCAAAGCATAATGGTTTTCTAAAGACTTGGCTTATCATATTTAAGTACATATATATATATATTTATATATATAAATATATATATCTATATGTGTGTGTGTGTGTGAAAAAAATCCAGTTTGCATTCAAGCAAAATAATGGCCACTGCTGCGGAAATTAAAGCATAACTTAAACTTAGAAATCCCTAGTGCTAATTGTAAGACAGCACTCAAAATATCTTCGCTAGACTCGGCGTGCGTCGAAAGGGATTCCACGAACTGGACGATACGCTGCCAACAAAGCGCGTCTTGGCGGAGTTCTTGAGCCGCAGCTTAGGCTTTGTGGTGGTGCTGGTGGGGCTGGAGGAGCCGGACGAAACGCCCGATGAGCTGGCAGCCGATAACGTTGATATGGAGCCTTTTGACGAGAGTGGCTGCAACATAATCAAATTGAATAAAGCGAACTCCTTGGAAACATTGACTTATTCACCTTTAGATAGTTGCGATCCATGGGCGTAATGACCTTAAGCTCCAGCGCAGCTCCACATGATTGTATGAGTCGTACCACCTGCTGGTGCGAATACCATTTGACATCCATGCCCGCTATTTCCACAATAAAGTCGCCCTCCTTTATGCCGCCCAACTGCAGAAACACATTAGTTATATTAATTTGAGGCAACTCTTCTCAATAGCTGAAGTCTGTACTTACGTCGGCCAGTGAATTGATTTCGACATGCGCTATTATAACTGGCGCATCGCCACGCACATGAAATCCAAAATTCTCTAGCTCCTCCTTGTACAGACTGCAGCCGGCCTCGTGACTCTCATCGCCCCGGGGGCAGTGGCAATGGTAGCTGCTTGCATCATGGTATATGGCCGAGCCCTTCTGGAGACGAACACAGCGCGGTGCTGTCCAGTGGCGACGTGCGGAGAATATTGCAATGGGACCCAGTCGCTTAAATGGATCTTCCACTTTGTACGAAGTAAAGTCCGGACCCGTCAATGTCAGCGTGAACTTCGACGATGCTGTGGACAACAGTAGAAGTTAAGTCTTATAATATATCTACCTAATCATGGCCTACTCACCTTCCACAACTCGCTCAGTTAGATCGTAGCACTCCTCTATGTTCTTAGCCGGAGCCTGAAGGCAGAAGCGTTCATACTCGTCCTGGGTCTTGTAGTATGCCTCCTTGATGACCTGCGTCAGTGATGTTTTGTTCTGGAAGATACAATGGGCGTTAACGATTTCTCACCATGAATGCATGAATGACTCACCTTCAGGTAGCGACACATGCGCTGCAAGCGCTGCGCCTCCTCGTGACTAGCCAGAGCTTCTTTCAAGTGGGTGCGCTTGATGGCGGCAACGCTGACGGTCTCCTCCTCGCATTCGCTGTTGGCCTCGGTGGCACGCAGTGCCTCCCGCGCATTTCCAATGAATGATTCGTTCGACGATGCCGCTTGACTCTTTTTGGTGCCCAACGAGACATTGTCGCCATCGCCCACAGTGGTATCAATGCTCCGCGCCTCGTAATGATGTGCCAGAGCTAAATGTAGATGTTAATGTTAGTTGATTGGATCAGTTGGCCAAATGCCAATATCATGGTCAACCATTCTGACTTACCTTTGTACAATTCGGCCTTGAGCGGCACCAGACCCGCCCAGCACTCGGGCAGATAGGTGTGGGTGTCATTCACTTGGATATTCTTATGCATTTCATTGTACTCCAGCGACAGCTGTGCCGCCTCACCAGCCAAATCGCGAAATAGCTGCAATGGTCGAAACTATGATTAGCTCAGCCAGACTCATCGCATTTCAGCAAGCAGCTCAAATGCAATTTATATAAATCTAGGGGTCAGTCAGCCGAATGGCCATTGCACACATGCAACATTTGTCATTTCTCTTGTAATAGATCAAGCGTCACGTACTCAAGGGACTGTTGACGTTAGGTAATTGGGTAATTAGGTAATAGAAATGGGAGACAATGACTCTGAAGACGCCGTGGATTGAGTAAAGCCCTTGGTTACTTACATGACTGGACTCAGTTAGGCCCAAGGCCTCAATCTGCAGCTGTAGCTTCTCGAACAGGCATTCGCGTGCCTGGGATAGCATGAGTGAGACAAGAACATCGAGCACCTGCGGCTTTAAGTCCATGGATGGTGCATTGGTGAACGTGTCGTAGATGTGTCGGAAAATGCCGGCAGCACGCAGAAAACTGTCAACGGCTGCGTCGAGGCCGCGTTCTGTGCGCCTGTCGTGACGTGCACCGATTTGTGTGTAAATGGCGCCCAGATTGAACAGTGTGCAGGCCTTCTCAAAGGCAATGGTGCGCTGGCAGGAGGGCACACCGGTCAGCGAATCGTACCATTCGAAGTAAACGCCCAGATTGCGATCGGGCGGAAAGAAGCGTCGTTCCACATAATACAATAGATTGTAGTAACGGAAAAGCAGCGCAACACCCAGACCATCACGTGATGGCGTCTTTGAAGCCTACAAATTTGCAAGCAATCGATCGTTAGATTAGCATCGATACCGTGCTGATTAGCTGCGAGCTTACCTGTCTGGTATCTGTCATATCAGCGATGGCATCCATATATATCGAAGGCTCTTCGCTGTAGTGTTCCAATATAAAGTCCGAAAACGGTTCCATAAAATTGATTTCCTTCGTCTCCTTTAGACCCAATGGTATCATGGGCATAATGCCTTCATGACTGTAAATAGAAGATGAAGAAAGTAGTTTAAGGTCTTAACCGAAAGCTTGGCTAAGCTTTAATCAGCCGAAACACAAATTTAGTAGCTATTACCTCATATATAGCTCTGTTGATATATATTTATATGGATATATCTATTTAAATGCCTGATCAACTTCAATTAACGTGTGCGCCGAACCCTGGAAACCCCAAACTCTACAGAGTTCGTAATGGACAAGTGAAGTATGTTCATTTGCCTGTCTATTGTGGAAATACTTTTTACTATTGTTTGTTTGTTTGTTTCATATTTGTATTTTTGTCAGTTGTGCATTTAATGACGCTTTTTCACTTTCTTTGTTGTTTTGTTTGTTTTTTTTTTCGTTTTTTTTTGCGCTGTGATTTCGTTCCAGTAGACAGCGCAAAAAGGCGCTTGACCAGAAACTAATGCGCAGAAATTACAGCTGCCCAGCTGGGCAGCGCCCCATAGTATGTTGCATACCCCAAGCCAGCTAGCAGAGGGCAGTAGCTACAGCTTAAACTTAACATAAAAATAGCAACAAATTTCAACATTTGCATGCAAAACAAAACAAAAAAAAATGGCCAAAACGACAAATAATGGCAACAAGTTATTTGGGAAATGGGCGCAGGTGGTTTTAGCCATTGCAGCGACCAGTGGAGCAGTTAATCATTATATCACCTCACCTCTCGCTTTGATAGATCTCCACAGATGAGTTCAGCTCGGCCAGCTGCTCCTTGAGCAACTGCAAGTTTGAATTGACAAAGCTCAGCTCCAAAGCAACAGTGTCTCGCAGCTTCCGGTTGGTAGTGGCCTGCGAAATTTAATTATAATATAATAATATGTCAGAGAGAGAGAGAGAGAGTGGCTAACTTCACGAGTAATCTAAAGTAATCAAGCCAAGATTCATTAAGACAATTTCATATTACAGCAAATCTCGAGCTGAAACAAAATATTTAATCAAACTAGCAAAGCTTTGCTTACAGGGATTTTCTATACTTTTGCTGTGTTAGCTGTAATATCTAAAGACTTTTTTATACGACACCCGAATATCTAGGCTTGGCAATAATTCCAATTTTAAAATATAATCGAGACTTCTTAGATTAGTGGTATGAAAACTGAGTATCCAACACGGATCAAATGTCTCTTTTGCCAGCTTAAACGAGTTTTAAATTCGTTTTAATAATTGATACGACGTAAAAATGCCGAAGTAGGCAGTGCTTGACTAGAAGATACCTACAACTTGACGTGCGCTTTAAATATTCATGTTTCTAATGAACAGAGAAAGATGTCCAAAGAACAAAATACTCCATATGAACATCAGAGAGCCTTTAAATCGTGCCAGATATGCTCAAGTGTATTCATTGAAATCTTATGTAAAATGTGAAACGTGCTTGAGCTGGGCGTATACATAAGAAGTCCTACATGTAATTGTCAGGCACTAGCTCAGAGACGGTCTATTGTGGGTCCAACCACACATCCTCTTGTCTGTTGCACACTTTTAAAAAGATGATTTTCCGCTTTTAGTGAGTTCAAGGCTTGAAGAGCACTTACCTTGTATAAATTTTCGGCACCAGCGCGTAGGCGCAGCTCCTTGTTGATTTCCTGATTCAGTTTGCAGCGGCGACTTTGTAACTTGCCGCGACAGGTAGCCGCTCGTGGGTCAGAGCCCTGTAACAATAAGTAAAAGTCGAAATGAAATTAGTAAATAAAAATGCTTAAATTAACATTCTAAGCTAGTTATAGACGTTACATAGCTGATAAATAATAGTCAAAGCATATCATCTGAATCATTCCGTATGTAACCGAAACACATTCATATGCATACATCATACCTTCATACCTTGGCAAAGAGGGGCATTTTGTATGTAACCGAAACACATTCATATACATATATCATATCTTAATACTTTCATGCCTTTGCAAAAGGGGGCAATGCATAATTTTTGCTTGGAACGTGCCAAGCGAACGCGGCAACAAAGTTGATTGACTTAACAACCAACAGAATAGAATACGAATAGAACCTGCAGCCGCAACACAAATACTAGAATGATAAATGAAGTTCTTGGTTCTTGGAAAGTGTAACTGTTGCAACTGCAACTGCAGCTGCCGCAGCCATTGAATGGGCCTGGCACAGTGTAAGCTGTCTGTCTGCACTGTGAGCAACGGAAGTTGAAAGATAGAAAATATAAAAAAATAAACACACAAAATTAAAGGTGGCAACAAATAATTTATGTCTGATGAATATAAAATTTATATAGAGAATATAACTTTAAACCAACTTTTTCTTTCGCTCAGTGTAGCACTTGCAACTGCATAACAATAACAAAAGCTCAGCATGTTATCTACAATTTTTAGTGTGCGTGTAAGAGTGTGTGTGTGTATAAGGCCAATGCGCCGATGTTAGCATTGTAGAAGTAGGAACAACTTGAGACTTGGCTACGGCTAGGCCATAATTACATTGCGTCCACGTTCACAAGCACAAACACAAATACATTTGCACATTAACACATTCACGTATTTGTACGCCAACGCAGCGTGACACGATCGCAATAATCGTAAACGGAAGTAGGAAGTCATCGTCACGACGCTGCACATTCTGGCATACATGGAAACTTCTCCATAGGGTGTGAGGTTCAGAATGAAGCAGAAGAAGAAGCAAAGAAGACCTTAATATGCATTGTCTGTATGCCTGTCGTGCCAGGCCTGATGCTAAAGCAAAACACTTGAGTTAAGAACACTGAAGTTTCCAGCTCGTTGCTCAACTTGAGCGGGGTAAAAGAACATGTCTAAACATATATATATATATATATATATATATATATATATATACATATATATATAATAATGTGAAGTAGGTTTTTTTAGATATATAAACAAGGGCAAAAGTTAAGCAAAAATTAAGAATGCTATCGCATAAATATTTATATAAACCAAAAAGATAATAGGTGAAAACAAAATTGATTGAGATGAAAGTTGGGATATATCGTGTGATTGATGTAAGCTTAAGAAAAAATCAAAAAATAATAATGACAGAAACAAGCTGAAAGAACTGAAAGCAATTTAAAGACAAAGGAAATAAATTAACACAACATTTTTGGTGTGGCAAAGATTTAGAGACTTCATCCGAGCTATTCATTTTCAAATTCTATGCAATCTGGCTGAACTCAGAAAGAGCGCATTTTTTTTTTTTTTTTTTTTTTTTTTTTTTTTTTTTTTTTTTTCGTTTTTATTTCTTTATTTTGTTGCAGCTTATTGTCTTAGACTCTATAGCGCATTTAGCTCTAAACCTTAACTAATGGGAGGGCAGATATGCCAATTATTCTGCACTTGTAGCTACTATCTTAATTAGTTCTAATATTGTCTAGAGGATGCAATCTCTTCAGTCTTCGCCTATTGTTGTTTATAGCCAGGTTGCTTGCGAGATGGTTAGGATGCGCTGCAAGTCTGTCCGCGTATCTTGAACTGTGTCGCCCAATGAGTTCAGCAACTGTGGGAATTGCTAAATCCCTATGTAAGACTGAGTTTCTTACAAACCAGCTGGCTCCAGTCCATCTGCGTAGTGCTTTATTCTGCAGGGTCTGAATTTTGTTCCTTGTAGTCTTCGCCGAGGAGCCCCATAGAGAGATACCATATACGAAGGTTGGGACAACTATTGCCTTGTAGATGGCGGCCTTGCTGCTGTAAGACAACTTGCTTGAAGCTCTCAGCATCCAGTCGAGGGTTTTTAGCTTGCTTTTGCATTTTGAGGTTACTTGACTTATGTGCGCTTTAAAAGTCAGCCTTCTGTCAAGAGTGATACCAAGGTACTTTACTTTTGAGGCTTTGGGAATAGTGGGCCCCAATGCAACGCTTGGGCAATCTCCTCTTCTAGTGGCGAAGGTAGTATGTACAGACTTTTGTGCATTAATGGTGATACACCACCGTTTTGCCCAGCGTCCGAAAGAGTCCAGATATTTTTGTAGTGAGTCTGAAGCTTCTTGCGCAGATACGTGACGTGATAAGATGGCGGTGTCATCTGCATAGGTCGCTATGAGTACTGCATCTGTACTTCCTATATTTGGCTCGGGAGTTGGCATATCTCCTGTGAATAAAGTATAAAGTGTTGGGCCTAGAACACTACCCTGTGGTACTCCAGCCATAATTGGTCTAGTCAAGGATACTGTTTGCCCCCTTGACACTTGGAAGGTTCTTCCAATAAGGTATGAGGATAGCAACGCGAAAAATGGGGCTGGAAGGGTGGTCCTCACTTTCTGCAGCAGTCCCAGGTGCCAAACTCGATCAAACGCCTGTTTGATGTCTAAAAAGACGGCAGAGCAGTACATCTTTTCTTCAAAGGCTCCAAGGATATGGTGCACAACTCTGTGAACCTGTTCCGGTGTTCCATGCTGTCTCCTGAAGCCAAACTGATGGTTTGGAATGGCCTCCTGGCGTCCCAGATGTGTCAGTACTCGTTCCAGAAATATTCTTTCGAATATTTTGGAGAGTACTGGCAACAGGCTAATTGGTCTGTACGACTCAATTTCTCCCACGGGTTTGCCAGGCTTAGGAATCATCACAATCACGGCGCGCTTCCAGCAGGCTGGAAAGTGCCGGATGCGGAGCATGGCGTTGTACACCATAGTTATGTAGTCTATGGTGGAGTCAGGCAGTGCTCTAAGGACTCTGCCGTTTATTAGATCATATCCAGGGGATTTTTTTGCCTTCACTCTTCTGATGTGTTCAAGAACCTCTTCTTTTGTACATCCAGTTATCTGGTCTTCAGCTGGGAGGGGCGAGAGAACGATGTCTTCTGTTGCTTCGATTTCTGAGGCCTCTGCGGTAATCACCGGCGTGAATTGGTCTTGAAGGTGGTTTGCAAAAGCCTCAGCTTGAGCTTCGTCTCCAATGTGCCAGGAACCAGAAATGCTCCGAATGGGATGACGTCGTATTGGCTGCCGTTTGAGCTTTCTTGTAAATTTCCATAATTGAAACTCTGCGTCAGTGGGCGATTCAGCTCGTACCAGCGCATCGCTGATACACCTCTTTTGAAGCAGGGCGAGAGCAGCTTTAAGATGCCTCGTGGCTTCGTTGTACATGGATTTGGCATCAGGCGTGCGTAATCTTAACCAGCGTCTCCTGGCCCATCTTTTGTGTATTAGTAGGTGTTGGGCCTCCAAGGTGAGGGGGATGTTGTACGGAGACTGTTGTCTTGTTTGGCAAGATGGTGGGGCGGCTTGGTGCGCAGCTTTGACTATTTCTTCCTGCAGTTTGTTTGCTGCGTAGTCCACGTCTTCAGGAGTGTTAAGTTCCATTTCTATGTGCAAAGAGTAATGGAGCTCGCGCCTAAAGACTCCTAAATCTGATCCTGCTGGCAGTAGTTGTTTCCTAATGGGCAAGGGCTGTGGCTGCGCGTGGATTGTGACTATTAGTGGCAGGTGGTCAGAGGATAGGTCCAAGGATTCTTCAATGGTCAATTGCCGGTCACAGATGCCTTTGTAGACAGCGAAGTCGATTGCCGAGGGCCTGTGTCCATTAATTGGGTAACGGGTGGGGGCTCCAGTCGCCAATATGCTGAATTGTAAGTTTTGAATCGCCTCAAATATGACTTCTCCGCGACGATTCGCACTATTGCTTCCCCAAAATGGGTGCCATCCATTCCAGTCGCCGCCGATGAGGGTCTTATTCAACCTTTGGCCTAGAACCTGTTCCATGTGATGATCACACAGACCAGTGTTTGGCGGAAGATAAATTGACGCAACTTCGATCGCTCCAATAGACGTAGGCAGGGTGATGGCTGAGACCTGCATTGTTGCGTTGCAAATTGGCAGTAAAGGTGTATGCGGTATTGTTGCTCGTATGAGGATTGAGGATCCACCAAAGCAGTTTGCTCCTTCACCATGAGCCTGATAGTGTTCGTATCCGAAAATTTGTGTAGTGGGGCACTCATGAGTTTCTGTTATTAACATTATATCTATGTTTTCTTGTGAGAGAAACGCAGCCAGTTCCTGAGTCTTGTTTCTCAGGCCATTGGCGTTCCAGATACCCACACGTAAAGCCATTATTTGTAGGCAAGCTTGGTTATGATGGCCATTAAACTGTTTAGCATGGTTGCTTGTTGGGATTGTACTTCTCGCATCGCTTTGAGCTCGGCATTAATTGCGTCAAACTGACGTTGTTGTTGCTGAAGCATTTCAGTGAACAAAGTGTCACTTGTGGTATTCTTATTTGACGGTCCACCTCTAGCGGCCTGTGCGTAAGAAACACCACTAATAGGCGTTGCAAAGCTCGTGGCTTGGGTAATGCTCCGGGGCCTTGTAATTTCGGAAGCAGTACTCGGACCCGTAGACGGTGTTTGTGTGGGACTCCTTTTTTGTGCTGGGGATTGCAATTTGCGCAACCGCTTGTATACTTGGCAGCCCTTATAGTTGGCTGGGTGCTGTAACTCACAGTGCACACAAGTTGGTGCCTGGTCCTTTTCGCGGGTGCAGTCTTTGGATGCGTGTTTCCCGGCGCAACGCACACATCTGGGAGCTTTGTGGCAGTAGCGTTGTGTGTGTCCAAATTCTTGACAGCGATGGCATTGTGTCAGGTCGTTGTATCTTCTTGGCAGTTCCACTGTGCAGCGTTGCCTGCAGACAACTCGAATGTCCAAAATTTCTTTGTTGTTGGGGGCCTGAGCCACGTCAACA